TTATGTGAATGGACACATATCGTCGCCCCCTGGTGTTGTGGAGGTGAATGAGTTGTTGGTGCATAAACCTCGAAACAGATCCAGAAATAAAAAAAAAACGGCGACAGAGAACGACAAGTCGACGCAGAAATATACTTCCCCCTCTCTTCCTCTTCTCCCCCTCTCTTCCTCTTCTCCCCCTCTCTTCCTCTTCTCCCCCTCTCTTCTCTTCTCCCCTCTCTCTTCCTCTCTCTCCCCTCTCTCCTCTTCTCCCCCTCTCTCTCCATTTCCTCCTCTCTCTCTCTCTCTGTTTCTCTCTCTCTGTTTCTCTCTCTTTCTCTCTGTTTCCGTTTCTTTCTGGATCAGTTTCATGTTTTGCTCAAAAACAATCAGATGTTTTAAAAACTCAAACCAAAACAAAAAACACTGAAACTGAAACTGTAAATGTTTAGTCCTGGTCCAGTCCTGGGTTAGACCTGGTTTAGTCCTGGTTTAGTCCTGGTTTGAGTCACTGAAGGAAAATAATTCTTTGTATTTTTAGCTCCAACTGAAATCTGTGGTTTGAGTCTCAGAAAACCATGTCTAAACCAGGACTAAACCAGGACTAAACCAGGTCTAGACCAGGTCTGGACCAGGTCTAGACCAGGACTTGAGACCTGTTTCCTCGAATGATCTCAGTTTTTGCTCAAACACAAAAGTTCGATCAAAATCAAATCCAAATCTGAACGACGTTTGTGACGCTTCAACAATCAAATCAAATCATCTGGAAATCACCAAGATCACATCAAATCAAAATCACACAACACACACACACATACACATACACATACACACACACAGACACATACACACACAGACAGACACACACATACACAGACACATACACACACATACACATACACACAGACACATACACACACAACACAGACACACACAACACAGACACACACACACACCACACACACACACACACACACACATCACACACACACACACACACACATACACACACACACACACCACAGCAACACACACACACATACACACACACACACATACACACACACAGACACATACACACACACAGACACATACACACACACAGACACACACACACACACACATACAGACACATACACACACACAGACACATACACACACAGACACACACACACACACATACAGACACATACACACACACAGACACATACACACATACAGACGCACACACACACACACACACACACACATACACACACACACACACACACACACAGACACACACACACACACACAGACACACACACACACACACACACACACACACACACATACACACACACACACACACACACACAGACACACACACACAGACACATACATATACACACACACACACACACACACACACATACAGACACACACACACACAGACACACACATACACACACACACAGACACACACACACACACACACACACACACAGACACATACATATACACACACAGAATATACACACAACACACACACGTGTGTGTACACACATATAAATGAATATTAAGATAAATCGTACTTTTAAAAAAATCATAGAATATTTATATATTAGAGTATTTATAAAGTATTTAAATTATATAAGTACATGTAGTATAAGTACATGTAGTGTAAGTACATGTAGTACAAGTACATGTAGTATAAGTACATGTAGTATAAGTACATGTTGTATAAGTACATTAGTATGTAGTATAGTACATAGTAGTAATAAGTACATGTAGTATATAAGTACATGTACATGTATATAAGTACATGTAGTATAAGTACATGTAGTATAAGTACATGTAGTATAGTACATGTAGTATAAGTACATGTAGTATAAGTACATGTAGTATAAGTATAAGTACATGTAGTATAAGTACATGTAGTATAAGTATAAGTACATGTAGTATAAGTACATGTAGTATAGTACATGTAGTATAAGTAAGTATAAGTACATGTAGTATAAGTACATGTAGTATAAGTACATGTAGTATAAGTATAAGTACATGTAGTATAAGTATAAGTACATGTAGTATAAGTACATGTAGTATAAGTACATGTAAGTATAGTAAGTACATAGTAGTATGTAGTATAAGTACATAGTAAGTATAAGTACATGTAGTATAAGTATAAGTACATGAAGTATAAGTACATGTAGTATAAGTACATGTAGTATAAGTATAAGTACATGTAGTATAAGTATAAGTACATGTAGTATAAGTACATGTAGTATAGTAAGTACAGTATAAGTATAAGTATAAGTACATGTAGTATAAGTACATGTAGTATAAGTATAAGTACATGTAGTATAAGTACATGTACATGTAGTATAAGTATAAGTACATGTAGTACATAGTATAAGTACATGTAGTATAAGTATAAGTACATGTAGTATAAGTATAAGTACATGTAGTATAAGTACATGTAGTATAAGTACATGTAGTATAAGTATAAGTACATGTAGTATAAGTACATGTAGTTAGTATAAGTACATAGTATAAGTACATGTAGTATAAGTACATGTAGTATAAGTACATGTAGTATAAGTACATGTAGTATAAGTACATGTAGTATAAGTACAGTGTATAGTAGTATAAGTATACATGTAGTATAAGTACATACATGTAGTATAAGTACATGTAGTATAAGTACATGTAGTATAAGTATAAGTACATGTAGTATAAGTACATGTAGTATAGTATAAGTACATGTAGTATAAGTACATGTAGTATAAGTATAAGTACATGTAGTATAAGTACATGTAGTATAAGTACATGTAGTATAAGTATAAGTACATGTAGTATAAGTATAAGTACATGTAGTATAAGTACATGTAGTATAAGTACATGTAGTATAGTACAGTATAAGTAGTATAAGTACATATGTAGTATAGTAAGTACATGTAGTATAAGTATGTAGTATAAGTACATGTGTAGTATAAGTACATGTAGTATAAGTATAAGTACATGTAGTATAAGTACATGTAGTATAAGTACATGTAGTATAAGTGATTCAGATTTAAAAGTTTTTTGAGTCTCAGTCGAGTCCCAAGTCTTTATCAAATCAAGTCTCAAGTCCTCAAAAAAGACACTCAAGTCATGACTCGAGTCCAAGTCACTGCAGGTCCCTCGTCTGACAGGACTGGGTGTGTTTTGTGTGTGTGTTTTGTGAGTGTTGTGTGTGTTTTGTGAGTGTTGTGTGTGTGTTGTGTTTTGTGTGTGTGTGTTTTGTGTGTGTGTTGTGTGTGTTGTGTGTGTGTGTGTGTGTTGTTGTGTGTGTTTTGTGTGTGTTGTGTGTGTGTGTGTTGTGTGTGTGTGTGTTTGTGTGTGTTTGTGTGTGTGTGTGTGTGTTGTGTGTGTGTGTGTGTTGTTGTGTGTGTTTTGTGTGTGTGTTTTGTGTGTTTTGTGTGTTTTGTGTGTGTTTGTGTGTGTTTGTTGTGTGTGTTGTGTGTGTGTGTGTGTTTTGTGTGTTTGTGACGTCGCGGGCGTCAAACCCTCAACCGCCTCCGTCTGTGACTCACTGATATGAACTGGGTCAGGGGTCACAGGGGTCAGAGGTCACAGGGGTCAAAAATGTGATGACGTCATCGTTTCAGAGAGTGGGAGGAGCCAGTACGAGTCTACTGAACCAGGTCTAAACCAGGTCTAAACCAGGACTAAACCAGGTCTAAACCAGGACTGAACAGGTCTAAACCAGGTCTAAACCAGGACTAAACCAGGTCTAAACCAGGACTGAACCAGGTCTAAACCAGGTCTAAACCAGGACTGAACCAGGTCTAAACCAGGTCTAAACCAGGACTGAACCAGGACTGAACCAGGTCTAAACCAGGTCTAAACCAGGACTGAACCAGGTCTAAACCAGGTCTAAACCAGGTCTAAACCAGGTCTAAACCAGGTCTAAAACAGGTCTAAACCAGGTCTAAACCAGGACTGAACCAGGTCTAAACCAGGAATAAACCAGGACTAAACCAGGTCTAAACCAGGTCTAAACCTGGTCTAAACCTGGTCTAAAACAGGTCTAAACCAGGTCTAAACCTGGTCTAAACCAAGTCTAAAACCAGGTCTAAACCAGGTCTAAACCTGGTCTAAAACAGGTCTAAACCAGGTCTAAACCAGGTCTAAACCTGGTCTAAACCTGGTCTAAAACAGGTCTAAACCAGGTCTAAAACAGGTCTAAACCTGGTCTAAACCTGGTCTAAACCAGGTCTAAACCAGGTCTAAACCAGGTCTAAATCTGGGTTTTTCTTGTTGTACTTTTTGTCGTGGTTGTGACTGAGCTG